CGGTAGTAGAAATCATTATTCCAGGATTTATAGAGAAATAAAATTACAAAGCACAGTTACCTCAATCACTTTGGTTTCACCTGGTTTGTCAAGATTTTCAAACACAGCTTCCTTCTTGTCTGCCCGAACTTCAATCAGGTTTTGCCTCAGATTCACTTGTAAGTCACGGCGTTTAACAATGTCCCACAGTGAGTCAGCATATTTCTTGATCCCAAAGAGCACAGGTAGCGATGTGTTGTATATGACCTTGGCCTGTGCCCTTCTCCCTGTCTTTAACAGAAATATAAACATGTCTTCACTATATATGGGAAACCACACTTAATTTATCAAAATGAACCACATTATTATTACACCCCAAACTTGAAGTACCTTTCTGAGAAAGGCATCTGATAGGTACATTATCTTTTGTGGCGCTCCAGCACATTTCACAGGAGTGTTTGGGAAAGTGAACACAGCGTTGCCCTCCTTGAAGTTCTGCAGCGCTTTCCATGTTTTCTCCACAGTTTCGAATGAATAGTTTGACCCAATCTTTGGATGCTCAAACCCTTCTGGCAGTCCTTTAATCTACATACAAGAAGAATATAAGTTGTATGGGGTGTAACAGAATTCATATACCAAAGGGCCAAAGTATACCAGGTAGAGTTAAATGAGCAAAGCACTACTTCACCTTCTCATAATGGAGTTGTAAACCAAGAGCCACAATCAGATACTCATAGGAGATCTGTAACATGAAGTAAATTTTACATAGGGCTCGATGCACATCGATCATGCTGCTAGAAATGCTCAGCTCTGCATGCAAATTACTACACAATGCCAAGCTAGATAACACCCTAGTTTTATAAGTTTACAAGGTGTCAGATAACTGTTTGTTGAAGCAAACATACTTGAGACCCATCATCTGTGTAGACAGTATTCTTGTCTGGGTTTACTTCCTGAACTTTAGATTTCACCCACTTCACTCCAGATGGTATAACACTTGCAGTGGGACGGCTTGACAAGGCTACAGACTTTGCACCAGCGCCAACCAAGGTCCATAGTGGCTGATAGTAGTGCACCTGAAAGAATTGAAACATTATGTTTCTGACAAACTGAAAACATTTTCAACATTTGAATCAATGAAAGCCACATTGATCTGTAGTTTGTATTGTGTCCTAGTGATGCACAACTAGATGTGTGGTTTATAATCATCATGATCTACTGGATCCTTGCCTCACTGGGCTCCACAACAGCCACATTCTCAGCTCCCATTAACCTCTTCATTCGTGCACTCATTGTAATACCTCCACTTCCTCCTCCGAGCACAAGCATTTTGTAATGCTGTTTGGCAGAGGCATGGCTGCTCGTGTGAAGCTTAGAGACAGCAATGCACAAGGGGTGGTACTGCCTCAGGTGATGTAAAGCAGCCATTCTAGATCTGAACAGTAAGGACAAATCACTGAGATTAGCTACAAATCATTTTTATTAAACTAGCTGTCATAACAGTCAAATAACTTCTTTAAGGTGACTTTTCTTA